TAGCAAGAACGTGATAGCGAATTAGGTGGAGGTGTTGAAACAATTACTATTAAGACTTCAGAAATATAATGCCTAAATCCACAAAAAGATATCTCCATTTTCATATTGTTTCTGCGAAATGGGATCCTGTTTTTTTTTTCATTGGAGAGCACCTCTGCTTTTCATAGAAGATACCAAATAGTTTAGCCAAATTTAAGACTATATGATTATGGAAGTCTATAAAATCATAAATCACTCTTCATCTTTCAATTTTTTTTTTTATTTTTTTTTAGCATACCGACATTATAATTTAAGAGTCTTTTTTTCGCTTGAAGCATTTGATACTGGAATTTTTGCGATCCGTACATCTCAGCTTAATGCAAAGTTTGATCGTTAATGTCGTAGGTAGCTAAAAAGAAATTATCTATATAGTTAATATAATTCCATATTCGATATATCATTCATGATTTATATTTGAATCTTTCATATGTCATTTACCTGACTTGAAATTGAGCTCCTTTACAAGATTTTTTATAATTGCTTGCGATTTTTCATCTTTGAGGTCGGCGCATCCGCATTTTAGGAATGGATCCATTAATTCCGTATTCTTTCAATATTCCATTCAGCCCACGGAATGAAGAAAACGGTTATTTTTTTACACCTTATGTTTTGATGCGGGGAGCATCCTCCTCGTCATTTCATTTTAATCTTTTTCGTTCTCTTCATTCCTAGGTTTACTATTATAATTTATAATGGGTTGTAGTAAGAAATGCATATAGTAAGATGTGCCCATTATTAATGTAAAAGCAAGATCAACGTACTTATGGATGCGTTTGCAGTTTTCTTATTTTTATCCTATCTCAAAAAAGTATCGCATCACATATTTGTAACGAAAAAAATATTGTTACGCGCTTTCTCTTATGGAACAGTGGTGGTACAGTGAGAGCCTGTGTGCCAAATACAAGGTTTAATGTATTTGATAATTTTAAGTGTTTCATTCTTCTCGTATATTTGTCATAAGCTTCATTATGTCTATTTATAAAGAAATTTATTATTAAACATATGTAACTTATAACTAAATGAACACAAAGGAAGTAATAATCAATGCCAAACAAAATTACGAATAATGTAACCATGCATAAAAGTATAAAATAAGATATAAAAAAACATGAAAAATATATTCTGTTTCTTTAATAAAAAAAAAAAAATACAATTAAAAAAATTAGTTACTTTTTCTTGTCGCTTTTTACTTTTTGAGTTTGCACAGTTGTAGAGAGGAAATCATATAGTAATCATAAATATCTGAAACGTAATTAAGGTTTGTGGTGCTCTCGAGTTAGAGTTGGTTGGAGGCGCGATGTATTTATGAGTATATATTTTGAGTAGCGTGTTCGTGTAACATAGTTAGATCAACGGTTGTTTGTAGTGATTTAAGCTGGCTATAGCAGCCATGGTTAAGCTGGCTTAGCTGGCTGAGCCAGCCAATGTAATATGATCAGCTGGCTAATGTGGCTAAAGATCATATGATTAAGTATATAGTAGGATTTCAATAAATTTCAAAAAGGAAAATGAAATACAAGCAAGGATGAGCTAAGTTTACTGAAATTTTCCAGAAATAAGGTGTTTGTCAGCTATTAGCTAGCTGATTAGCTGATATTTTTGTCAGCTGGCTTAGCTAGCCGACTAAAACCTTACAGCTTAAATCACTAGTTGCTTGTAAAAATGGTCCCCAATTCTCCCAAAAAAAAAAAATACTGATTAAAGCGGCCAGCATTATAGATAATGCCGGTCAACTTTGTCTGTTACCTTGTAAAATACGTAAACGGTTGCTAATTGGATTATCATCACGTGAAATTTGCAGGGGTTATCCTAGTTTTTCGTATTGTTGACTTTTAGTCAATGTACAAAGTGATATTACAGAAGATCTGTATTATATGGATGACCTGAATTGTATGACATGGGTTGTCTTAACTCGTGATTCGTGAATTAAGTTCAGAAGAGTACTCAAATCATTTAATTTGACTAATATATCAAATTTACAATATTTAATATACTTAACAATTGCGGATCTCACGAATCATTCAGCCACGAACTTGACGAGTCCAATCACTAATCGATGTCATACCATACTAATACTAATCTGCTATAATTGGGCGTCGATCAAAACGAAACGTAGTGTGAAATTAATAATTATTACGGCTGATGTTGATTTTGGCTGATGCTGATTTTCTGGAATCTACTGATCTAGATTTGGAAATCTGTATAAACCCTTTTATTAACAACTCTATCGCTATACGTATACCAATCTATATAGAAAATGGGATGTTAAATTGCGAATCCGGTCCGGTCCGTCGCAATTACTGAATAAGTCCATCCAATAAAATCGACTTTATTGTTAAAACAATACCCCTTATTGTAAAAAATAACATTTATAAATTGAACAATATGATTAATCAGAACAAATTCTGCCTATATATATACAGTATACGTATATTAGAAAAAATAACTATATAAATTATATATCTATAAAATATTATACCTATATATATAGTATAAAAATTCTCTTATGCATTTATATTTAAAATTATATTAATATTTTACTTAAGCTTTTTTTTTTTTATAATACCCGTAGGGTACAAATAAAAATTTTCTATGTTAGATAGATATATTTATAAATTATATATATATATATTGTATATATACAGTAAATACTGTATAATATATATATCTGATATCAGATATATATAATACATATATCTGATATAATTTTTAATAAAATAGCTCGCGACTACATAATCTATTAGTTTTAAAATCAAATTAAAATTACAAGTTTTACGTATCGGTAATAAAAACAAAATGTGAAATAATTTTGTGTATAGCTATTTTTATAAAAATTTAAAGCGACACTATACTATATATATCGACATTTATCATACGTAACGCCTTAAGTCACGTTTGTGCTGGGATCTGCGAGGACCCCATAAAAAATTATGTTCGTATTACGTAACTATTTAAATAGTACACAAGCATTTTTCAAACGCAGTTTTGTTTTCTCTCCTTCGATGTAAAAAATCACGATCCTAATTTTACTTTTGAAACTATTTCGTACACTAAACTAATACTACCATTTTATTAATAATGACATCCGAAGGGATACCAATTCATATAAAACAACCTATGATTCATACGAGTATATCTGAAGAAAGTATACTTGACTCAACTTCCGAAGTTGTATTACCCGAAACTTTACAAGAGACATCAATTTCAGGGTCATCAAACATTATACTTCAGATAATTCAAATTATTTTAGCTGTTTTCAAATTTATAATTTCTAAGGTTTCCTTACTACGAACTTTTACCCCTGAAATAGCTTTCCTTCTTGATGCTATTATAACCTTTTTTTCGTCAACATCAAAAATTAATTTAATATTATATCTAATAATTTGTTTCACATGGAGTTATCTACAGAAATCTTCTTTAATATTGCTTATTCTTGGCTGCACTTTTGGCTATATGCTTCGGAATAATGATACATCTAATCAGAAAAAACCTTTATTGATACAAGAATCTTATGTACAACAAAATACTCAAATTTCTTTACAGGTGATTCTTATTATAAATTATTTAATGGACCAGTACTTCTGAATTTCAGTATTAATATTTGTATTGTTCCGATAACTAAGGCTATTGAATGTGAAAAAGCAACTTCTTCAGAACTTTCTATTACTCCTCGAGTAGATGATTCATTAAATAAAGCATTTGATTTTATCATTCGGGATATAATTGATTATTATTATAATCAAATAAGTTCAAACAAGGATTCCGAATTTCAAATTCATGTACGAAATGCCATGAATGTCATGGCAACGAATTTGTCTTTGTGCCTCCAGAATATTGATAAAGTAGAATTAGGAATTATGTCTAGTTTTGCTATTGCAAACAATTTTATTGTCCATTTGGTATGCATTTTATTATTTTATTAATTAAATCTTGGTCCTTTAACTGATTTTTCTCTCTTGTATCCAATAGCGTGAATACAAAAAATTTATTGTAACAAATGAATCATTGAGTACTTATTGCTTACAAAATAAGAACTCACTACTTTCGCACACCACTGACAGAGAATCGCAAGCGCAAGTACTCCGTTCCTTATCTAAATTATTGTTGACTCGTCTTTTACCATCAAATGAGATTCAGAGTCATATATTGATGACGTTTCTTTCTGAATTATGGGCTATTCAAATCTTCGAAGCATTATTAGAAAAAATATGCGATTCAGATTGGTTAAATTCTGCTATTGTTAGTTATTTAACAGATAGTGATCCTGATGAAACTCATGATACAACTTTTTTTCAACAATTGGCAACTTCGATAGACGAAGAAGTGGCTGGTCTGACAGATAAATTTAATCAACCTTCAGATGATTATCAATCACCAATATCTAGTAATCAACCTTTGACTATACCAACTTCATTATCAACAAATATGTCACTTGATTCTAATGTTGAAACTTTTGATGAGCAGAAAAATTCTAGTGAAACTCACGAAGAGATTCCCCTAGCTGTTAAAGAAGTTACTGATCCTAATATATCACCTTCATCATTTTCGTCACATAATCCACCTATGCATTCTACTAATTCAGAAGAAGAGCTGAAAAATTCAGTTGAAATTCACCCAGCTGTTAAAGAAGTTGCAACCCCTACCACGCCACCATCGTTAGTTTCACCACGTAATTCATATTTACGTTCTGCTAATACAGAAAAATTGAGATTGATTCTTGAACGTCAGTCAGATACTTTTGCTGAATTTATGGCTTTTCTGGAAGAACGTAAATCAGCAAATTTACTTCGATTCTGGCTTCAAGCCGATTCATTCAAAAAAATTGCAGCTAACGAACAAAACATAGATCTGATTCAAAATGATGCATTGAGAATTTTTAAAACTTACTTTGGTGAAACTGCTTTATATCCTGTAAGGGTTATTAATGATATGTTAGTGAGGCAGTGTGAAAGTGACATATCTAAGGGACCTACATCTAATTGCTTTAGGAAATTGCAGGAATATGTATTTGTTGTGTTGGAGAATGAATATTTTGATGACTTTATTCAAGCAATGAGAAAACAAGGCGAAGATATGAGCTTTATGTATGTTGAAAAACCGGCTCAATTTGGAAATCTATCTCGAGTAGAAGATAAATCTGTTATAATGAATGATATATCGATCGAAAATGTATTTCATAAACGAAATAACACAGTAGATAATTCATCCCTTGGCTCGTTAAACCGATCTATTAACGAAGCTGAGTCTACGGGACTAATAGAAAATCGTTCTAGATCATTTTCTACTGGATTTTTTGTGGACGCGTTGGATCAAATTACGGCTTCGTTAGGAATCAATGAAAATTTCGTAGGTACACATGCAGAAGAGGAAAATGATTCAGAATCACTATCTGACCGTCCAAAAATGCCAATGATGAATCTTAATGGAGTAAGGATAAGGATGACAGATATATCTGAATCAAATAGATTAATTTCTTTAACAAAATCTCGTACCTATATGATTGAAGTTGAACAACCTGGATCTGCAGGGTGGATT